TATTTTTCTCTTTGCAAACTAGTCTGTGTCTACTGTGTTAACCCCCTTAGTAAAAGGTGATTTGATATAGATCAAGTCCAAATTAGATTTTAAGCCTGAAATTTATGCAAGCTTTTTAGCGAATTTCCCATATAGGGAATAAGCTATTACCGTAGTACTCATGGTAAGACCTGGACGCGGGACCGATTTTTTTTTTCGTTTTGAGGTCCCTAGAGGCCAAAAACACCATCCGTTCAAATTCATATATATATATATATATTTATATATTTATATATTTATGTATATATATATATATATATATGTCCGTCAGCACGATAACTCGAGCAAAAATGATCCGATTTTGATGAAATTTGGTACAAACGTGTAAACCTACGTTTATTCGAACGAGTTCGCGATCCAGCATGATCGGACCATGGGAACGGGGGTTTACGGGGGGTTTTATGGGGTAAAAATAGGTTTTTCCCATTTTTGACCCAAAAAACATAAAATTTAGCAATTTCTTTCCAAACCATTTTGTAGAGCTTAAAAAAACAAATAATTTAGTATATTGAAGCGTTATTATGCGCCTAATGGTTACGGAGAAAATTCCAAAAAATAGTAAATTTAAAATTCCCATGTTATTCTTATGGAGAATAAGTAAACTGTTGTAGTTTGCTTGTTTATGAACATATTTTGATCAAATTTGGAAAATGTTTTTATTTCTTACTAACTATTAAAATTTTACAAAAAAGAAAAACAGTTTTACCCTCCCTGATGCAGCAAACCTAAGTACAAACCTAAGTACTTGTTAAAATAATTATATTTAAATAGGGAATAAATGTTATATTTTTAAGTAGACATTTCAGTGTAAATCCAATCAGTCAAATGGAAATTCGCTTAGTCTGCAGGTTTGCTGCGGCGGGGGTATTTTATTGTGTCTATTTGTTCTGAACCATTATTTCAGTATAAATATTTTAAAATTTGCCCCCCTAAACAGGTAAACGTTCTGGAAAAAATATGTTGTTGAGTACCCAGAAACTGAAAGAAAACATTTTATTTCCAAGATTGTTGCATATGATTTCATATGCAACAATATATTATATTCAAAATTTGTCTTTACATTTAAACATATATTATATGGGTAAATATTAGGCTAGTTTAGATTTAGTTTTTGACTTGAGTAAGTTTAAAAAATGATTTAATATGAAACTCGCTTGTCAATAAAGGTCTTTTTATTTATTTATTTAATGGTTCACAATAATACATGCATATGCTTAAAAAAGCTGTTTATCTTAGTGGTTATGGTGCTCGCTTAGTAATCAAGGCTGCTGTTTGTTCCTGTGAAAAGACCTAGGCTTTTTGAGGGTTTCACATATTTTTTTCTGGGTATTATCACTTAGATAACATCCATAATTTATTGGTGGTATTTGAACCCGAGACCTCGGGGACTGAAGTCCCGCGCTCTACCACTAGTCCTGCTCGCCCTCCAACAGGAGATATGCCTGAGGGTAATGAATTTGCAGACAGTTATGATGTTTAGTAACTAAACCCAGTTGTTTCTGGTCGTTGGACTTTTAATAAATGATCCTGTCACAAAAACAGCTGATGTTGACAGTAAAGATACACAGGTCATCTTACTCTATTCTGATCTCACCCTGCACCCATATTCAGCTTTACCCACATGTTCGGTGTCTTAAATGATTGATAAATTAAATTGATCAATCTAAGATGTATTGGTGATTGACAGAATTCGAATTCAGGCCTCTATGGCAGAAATATGCACTCATACCACTTGACTCTATTAGTACTAGATCTTCATTAAACTGGCCAAACCCTACTTTGACTTGTTGATCCTACTTATAGTTAAAGATCCTACTAAAAAAGTCCTCAAAAGTTCTAAATTCGACTTATAAAACCTTTCTTTGGTTTGTCTCCATAAGACCATACGAGTTGCAAATTCAACTGACCAGACCCTATGTTGACTACTAGATGGTAAATTGCCAACGCTTAAGCGCAATGATCCCTAGCAGCTAATCATAGTGCTGATCAAACCGTGCTCACATTAGGTTGTAGTAATAACAGTATCACTCAGCAAATAGAATGGGACGATTGGGTTATTGTACCAATACTGATAGTAACCATTAGGTCTTCCCTTCCCTTTTGTATTGGTAAATTCTAAGATCCATTCTGGAGCTAATGGAGCTTGTGGATAACGCGGAGTTGTTTTACATCGAAAATGTATTTGCAAGTAATTGTTCATTTCAATTTGAATCATCTGAATGGTAGATTTTCATGAACATTTTCTAGTATAGTATTATTCGCGTACGTTTGAATTGTAAGATAGTATAGCATTGGACGAATTGTTTTGGTGCGTTTTAGCACATTACGGGTTTAAAATTGCGCAAAATATGTCTAGACATTCTAGATGATATGATGAAAAAAACTAAACACATTCCACCAGAGAAATAATGTAAAAGACATGAAGAAGAATACAGAAACGAACTGTACAAATTACAAAATGTTAAACGAAATGAAGTAAGTAATTAATTAGTTTATCTAAAAAATCTATAATCATGAAATCATTTACGTTATGAAGTAGATTTTTAATTATAAGCTTGGTCTAAAACTATTTTAATACTACCGAGGTATGTTAATGTGTTTTTGTGTGTATTTTTACGCCGTGATGAAAAGTATCGTTCATTAGGGTCGTTTCACACATATCAGTCCAGTCACAGTTGCATCCACAATTTCTCAGTCAAACCAGTCATTTAGTTTCAGTCACTTTTCCGTTACTTTATTTACAGTGTTGTTACAGTCAAAAATGTTGAATTAAAAACAAAATTCTATCAAATTTTCACTGTCCGCCTTGTTGATTGTTACAAACATTACTTAAAACTTGATCATTTAAATTTAAAAGTGCTATTTTCTAACCTAAAACACGTCCGCCAGGCGTCCGAACAATCCAAAAATATCGTTGTAAAGAATTCTGAAATTGACTGACGGACGCCAACAGAGCGACTGACGTAACTGCAACGGATGAGTGTAGATAGCGCAACAGAAAATCCATTAAAGAATATTTTTGTTAACTGTGACGTGTCTGAAGTGACTGGACTGTGACGTGACGTGTCGTAACTGATAAGTGTGAATCGATCTTAACTCGTATTACATTTTTTCTAAGATTTTATATTTTGTAAAAAAAGTGTATTATAATCAAATTTTGGCTAATACATTTCATATAGTTTTTCATACAAATCACTCTTTCCTTTCCTGTTGCAGCAAACCCAAGTACTAGTAAAACCTACTGTTATTGCAATAGAGAACAAATCTAACAAGGCTAAGGAAATATTTTAGTCAAAATCCATTCAGGAAAATGGAAATTTGCCTACGCTACAGGTTTGCTGCGATGGGGGCACTAGCGAATTTCCCATATAGGGAATAAGCGATTACCGTCTCATGGTAAGACCTATGTGTCCGTTAGCGCGATAACTTGAGCAAAAATGATCCGATTTTGATGAAAATTGGTACAAACGTGTAAACATACGTCTATTCGAACGAGTTGGTGAGCCAGCATAATCGTATGGCAACAGGGGTTTATGGGGTGTTTTATGGGTAAAAATTCGGTTTTCCCATTTTTACTCTAAAAACACAAAATTTCACAATTTCTTTTCCAAACCATTTTGTACAGCTTAAAAAAAGAAATAATGTTGTATATTGGATTGTTGTTGTATGCCTAACGGTAACGGAGATAATAATAATAAAAAAATTCCCATGTCTTTCTTATGGAGAATAAATAAACTGTTCTAGGTGGCTCGTTGGATACATTTTAATCAAATTTGGCTATTTTATTTATTTCATACTAGCTATCAACATTTCAATAAAAAAAACACACCTCATAATACCTTCCCTGTAGCAGAAACCCTACTAAGTACTCATTAAAATTCATCTATACTATAATATGAGTAACGTTTGCGCACAATGATTTAAAAAACGGCTCCTATGGTTTCCTCCAAATTGTTAGAAGTATCTTAGTTTTAGGCTAAAACAATATCCATGCTAGGATCTGTTCTGGGAAAATTCGTTTTTCGTTCAAAACTTAAAATACAATTTTTCTATTTTAACATTAGTCTTATGAACTGTGAAGTAGCTATGGCAGTTTTACGAAAATGTAAACAAATGAATTGTAACATATGCTTGTAACAAATAATATACAGTACAGTAGCAAATTACAAAATACAGTACAAAGGAAAAGGACATTCCTATATATGCTATTGAACATTGATTATATAATTCATTTGGGGTGTTTGATGTATTACTAACCAAAGGGATAATTATGACTGTTCAAAAACGCAAAAGTCTCTTTACGCAAAACATTATACACTAATATTTAACTAAAAGTCTAGTGGAAAGGACAAGGACGCTTTGTAGATTTTCGACGATGCTCCGACGAAATTGAAGCGTTGTTCCACGATCCCGAAATTAGTTGCGACGTTCCGCGAACCCAGTGACGCAATAACGGTCAACAGATGTTACGTATCATGAGTTGTTACATTGAAGTTTATCATAGAAATGTTCAGTATAGATTGCTCGACCACATTAAATAGTGTATTAGGTAAATTAAGAATGAATGAATGTCTACCGAAAACGAATTGACTTTACAACTTAATTAATCGCAGGAAAACTGAAATTATGTATATGTAGGCTTATAGGTTTTATTTTTATCCTCTTCAACAAATCAAACACCTCGAGCAATGCTCGGTCCCCTGGTACTGTTATTTAAATAGGAACTTAATCTGACAATTTTAAGAGAATATTTTAGTAGAAATCCAGCCAGAAATGGAAATTTGCTTAGCCTGCAGGTTTGCTGTGGCGGGGGTATTTTTAAATTCCTCATACTTTAAAGGCGTTAGATATGGAAACACATTGTTTTTTTCTATTTGTTATACTTGACCACATTTAGTATACTGTTCATTATTTGATCAGGAACCAGAAATCAATCACAGAAAGACTTTTTTTTATTTCAGACCGCTTGGAGTAAAGTTTTATGAAGTAATCAAACCTAGAGGACGGATTCAAATGTAAGTACCTTCACACTAATTATACTGATCAAGCGTAATGTGTAAATTTGGTTTAAACCTAATTAAAAATAAATCAGAATTTTAGTTCAAGAGTGGGTTGAGCATACCGAATCCATATCTCATGTATTACAAAATTTGGTTTTTCTTTTCCGAGAACGTTTGGCTCTTCTACCCGACCGATGATTTTCATGATTGGGGTCTCAAATTGAAGGTATGCACCCACTGATTTTACATAAAGCATATAATTATTTAATATTTGATTTATTTTCGAATTTTTACTTCAAATGTAAGATGTATTTTACCGGCTTTCATTTAAGCTATTAGCTATCCAAATCGGACGAGTTTCAAGCAATAGCAAGGTGAACAACAAACATAAAAATTATTTTTTATAATGTTTTTCTATGATTAAAAATCAATAGCTCCAGTATCGTCTATGTTTTACATTTGTTAGACTTAAAATAATCAGTAAATTTCCTAAAGCCATTTGAGCTATTGATCGTTTGAATCAGTCATAATCGTTTGAATAAGTTTAAATACTGTATTACTCAATCAAAAATCATCAATTTGATTATGTCTTGGATATGATATTTATTTCACGCTGCGGAGCAGCATGAGTACTCTAGTACCGAATTAAAGGAATAAAATATATATATATATATATATATATATATATATATATATAATCAAAAAGACATAAATCAAGTACAAACAACATATGTCGAATCTTAAATTCTATTTTACTTTACAAACTCAAAAGTTTTTCTGTTGGTCAGAAGTACAATGTATGCTATAGGTAAAATCTATAATTGTTCAGTTATTGCGTTCGGCTAAAACATGGAAATACAAAATAAGATTTTACTATTCATTCAAGATCCAGGCTATCTAACACGGAACGGTCTTGTGCTACCATATAATAGTCTATTAAAAAAAATCGTTGTCCAAACTTGAACTTTTTTAAATTTTTGTATTAAATGTATAAACATGTATAAGTCAAAAAGTTGTTACATTTTAAACATTGTTTTTCCTCCCTAAAAGTCTGACTTATTGGAACCAAATAAAATTTGAATATCATAATATTCTAGAAGGAAACATCTTAGAAGGAAATTTAGCATGTGTTTGATCTATTTCAATGTATAAATAAGATTCTGAAGGTTTATTTTTAGGAAACATTTTTATCTACTAAGACCTTTCCTATCTAATTGAAAAAAATATATACAACCTATTCCAAAAGAAAACATTTACCTACCTCTTGTTTTAAACTTTAAAAAAATAATCCTACAAGAGCTGGATTATGAGTCTGGATTTTGATGGGATTCCCAACGTAACCTACTCTTTGATTAGTTAAGGAGATTTATTTAATAAAATCCTGTACAGGACAGGACCAGGTTATTTTTATCTTGTCTTTTGTTTTACATTATTGGTTATATTACATTTTAGCCACTGATGACACTGCGGTATCAATCTTTTCATTGTAGTACTAAAATGCAGTAATCACACTAATATGTATGTAAATGTATTTCTTTATTAAGATGATTGAAATTGTTTATTCATTAGAGTTAATAGTAGTTAATTCACAATAACAGTTTTGTTTTTTGTTAAAGATTATTCTAAAAGAAACTCCCTTGTAAAATTGAAATACAGGTTGAAATACCCTAACAATATTCCTTCAAAGTAAACCATGTACGCATTTACCAAATATAGATCGAAATTTAATATCACTGGCTTAAAATTACTGTTAGAAAACTTGTATTTAAACATGTTCGTATCGTAATATTAATTGTTAAGTAACAGATACAAGTTTGTAATACCGTATTTGGAACATGAATAAAGTTTGTAGATTATTAAATTATTTTTCATCCTATTCAGTAAACCAGATTATTAGTAAAAAAGTAACATTTTACTTTCTCATTATATAACAATAAATATAAGTAGTTATGTGTTATTATATTTTATACAAAATTTGTAACAATCTACTTTCCCCCAAAAGGAAGGTAAACCTAGTAAACTTCTTAAAAATAAACATTGAAAATATGCTATCACAAACTATCCTTAAAGTAAATTTAAAAAATATTATCTTTAATAATTTACGTAGAAATTGACCAACATTTTTTAAAATGCAGTATAAAATATATTTTGAGGGGTATAAAACAGCAAATGGCACAGTTTGTAGGGGTTGGTGGCAGAAGGGAGTGTACTACAGCATAATGACCCTACAAGAGGCAGCCTAGGAAGTGTGATGGGGCTTTTGTCTTGGGCTCAGACTGATCCTAACCCTTATGGGGCTTCCCTCTCCCCTTCCCACCAAAAAAATCACCTCTAAAGCTCAAGTCATAACGAACGCATGAAGAAACTTAAATAAAAACAGGCGAATATTTTTGATTGGCGTTGATATGCTCTTAGCAGTTTTTATTGGGTATACTGTAGTTTACAATTAAAATAATCGCATCAATAGTGTGTTTTATTAGTGTGTTCATTAAGTAAATTTTTACTTCAAGAGTTAGAATTTAATAAAAAAAAGTAAATTAATGGAACGTACATTTTTAATCCATGTAACAAATCATATAATTTGCCATACAACTGCACCATTCTTTTAGCAAAATAATTCACAAAACGTAAATTTCTTATATTGTTTATATTCGTAAATTATTTTGCTAGACGGTTTCCTTTTTGTTTTGTGTGATGCGCGAACAGCTGTTGCAAGATTTTCCCTCCGCCAACATAATAAGAGTTCACATTTACTGAAATTCTTTTACATTTACGATTTGTCTAAATGTTGATAATAGTTGTAAATTGTAGTGGAATATACAATGTGATACGATATAAATACAAACAGTCATAATGGCGATTCGATTTTTCGTTACTCCGTACAGAAATAGCCCTGACAACTGGTATTAAAGAAAATAATTGTTTCTAAAACTCTTATTTTAGAGCAAGGGAAAACGATCAGCTGATTTCCCCTTGCTCTCTACGCGTGCTAGTGTTTCTTTAACATTTAGATTAATGATTTTAATCATATGTTTTTTTATTAAGCCATCTAAGCTAGATGTAAAAAGACATAGGCATAAACTAGGTTTGCTGTGTATTTAGATCAGTGCGTGTTTTTATAGTGTTTAAGGTTGGTTATTCTTTGTGTATATATTTTTGCGTTGTAACGAAAATTATCGTTCATAGTTTGTGCCGAAAGTTATTTTCCGGCATTTACTCCAAATATTCCCGTCCTCGGATTAACCCCGTAATTGAAATATACTCTCACATGTTCGACGTTGCGTCGCACGTAAAATTTAGTTTTCCTGAGTTTGGCTTTGCCTCACACATGAAATCTGAGCGCGCACTGGAAAATGCCACTTTCGGTACTAGTAATGAAATATCCTATTGTTAATCGACATAACTTACTTCGGCGAAATAAGCGAAAGATTTAGACTCTACCTGATTTATTTTCCTCGGAGAGGTTTAATAGCTACTTTTGCCTGAAACGCATCCAAATGAAAATCCGATTTCACTGTGTTTTCGTCATACTGTATCAAAAATGGCTGTTTTGATACAACTATTGCCTACGTTTTGATTTTTATATGACTGTCAAGTACGTCCCTGAGATTACCAAAGGGAAAATTCCTAATTAACAAGCATACTATTGTATCGTCTATAAATTTATTTCTGTTTGTCCTTGGAATACATTGTATAGTTCATTACATTAAGTACCCTTTTAATGTCATTTAGTAATACTAAATTCATATAAATAGGTAACGGCATAAAATGTTTCAATTAAATAGCAAAACTATAAGGAAACAATTTTGAGAGATAATTTTTGATAGTAATTTAAAAAAGTACGATATTTTGGTTTTGCGAGTTAGTTAAAATGGCTCAGTCTGGCGAAAAACCTGAAACAGACCAAATAAAATGGTCTTTTCGACCTTCTCTTATTTTTAAGTTTTGTTTAGGTGATAACTTTAGGAGTTACTTTGAAGTCATGTAATGAAATAAAGTGAAAATATTTTAAAGAAATTAATAAAACTCAAACACATTTACAAAATATAAAAACTCTTATTGTATAACTACTGTAAATAAATATGTATATCAAACAGAAACTAAACAAGAAATTTAAAGTTGTCTTTCTCAATATTGTGTGGGTTCACCTGGTTCAATAACTTGTTTGGAAACCCAATACCCGTAACTTTGAAAACTAAGTTAGGCTAGTGCACCGAAACATCCTCAAATAGCCACTGATGTAATTTCAAACAGTACAAACCCAGTAAATGCAGTTTCAGTTTTTCTAACTGCGCAAATTTGAGATACTCGCAATGAAATTGAGTTTTAAAGTTTTAAATCTAATAAGTTTCCGATATTTCAGAATGATTTATTGTTGTTCTATGTACAAAACATAATGCTAAACAGATATTTAAATATACTCAGTACATATTTTATAATGTGGTCTTTAGTTTTGAAGAAAAAAAATAACATTATTATTCTGTCGCATGTGTTGTTATTTTGTGTATCCTTTAAACATTTGATTACATTTTGAATTATGTTTCGGGATGGATTTTAAAGCCATAATATTTATTTTAAACCAAAATAACTTTTCTGAAAAAATAGGTCTTGTGTTAATGTTTATTGATCTTATTACATATAATAAAAATTTAGCCAGAAGAAACATACATGCATTGGCTGTGTCAGGACATAAAGATATTACAATGGTATATTCATGAGTAAAACTAAGAATTATGTTAGTTAAATTAATTGCATTAATATTTTATTCAAATACTGTGAGTGAAATGCTATACTGAAGTTTGTTTGCATTGTCTGTATGTTTAACGATCGACCTATACGTCCTATCCATAATTATATTTATTTATTAAAATAAAATTATTTTGTTATATTTTGTTTTACAGCAACACCAAGGGTACCAATACTAGATTGAGAAACATAACTCACTCAACAATCCAGTAGCGTATTTAACAGACTTATTAATTAACCGATGTATTTTTGAAATTGCAATATTGCCA